TGCTTGCTCTCAGAGCCCAGAGAATTAAGTGTTAAAAGCCTTATTTGCTCTGGGGGCTGGAGAGATAGCACAGCGGGTAGGGTGTTTGGCTTGCACACAGCCAACCTGGGTTCGATTCCCAGCATCCCATATGGTCACTTCTGCAATGCCAGGAGTAACTCCTGAGCGCAGAGCCAGGAGTATTCCCTTGTATCACCGGGTGTGACCCTAAAAAGCAAAAAGAAAAAAAGCCTTATTTGCTGTCAAAGCCCAGAGAACTAAGTGTTGGGATATTTGTCTCTTACTGTGTTTATCCAAACAACTACAAGTTTTGATAACTTATACAACTAGAGGAAAAGATAAAAGCAACATAGATATCCCTGGGAGACAGAGTGTCTCCTTGGGTAAATCTCCCCATGAGAATTTACTCTGCCAAATGTTTATCTGCGTAAATGATCAGTCACCCCTCTTACCTGTCCCTTTTCGATGCCTGGGTAGCTCACAGCTCTCCTGGGTCCATTCAGTCTCTTGCTTTTGGGGTGCTAAGAACAAAGCGCAGATGATGCTTAAGTCTCATAAACAAGACAATGCCCAGGAGTATATAGTATCTGCAGTTAATTAACTCTGAAGTTACAAAAGCATAATATTGCCTTCCTTTGTCTAGACAAAGCTGAGGGCTGGGGGCATGGCCATCCCTATCCTCCCAGCACAATCTTCCCAACTTGGGACTGCACTGGTCCTTGTTCAGGAAAAAAAAAAAAGGATATTTTTATAAAGTAAACTGTAGAGGATATAAAGGAAAGAGAAAGTCAACATTTTATTTACAAATACAAAATCCAGAGATTTCTGGATAATCTGACTTTACAATTCAAGGTTGTAATTAGGGAGAATGGGTGAATAATGTATAGGGGAAGCAGAGCACAGGGAATTAAAAACGAATACTAAGGAAATGGGTGTGATTGGGATGGGTGTTACTCAGAAAGCCTCAGCTCCTTGTACCAGAGGAGAAATGATGAACCAATGTTAAACCTAAATTGTTTAGAACTAGAGTCCAACCAGGATAAAGGATTTTGTTTTTTTTTTAAGCAAGAAAGTTTTGGTTTTCCAGGAGTAAGGACATTTGCTCAGGAATCCCACTGGGTGTGCTAGGAGCACGTTTACTTAGACCCGGAGCCATAGTACAGTGGGTAAGGAACCATCCAAGCAATCGACCCAGGTTCTATGCCCTGCATCCCATATGGTCTGTTCCAGAGTGACTCCTGCGTGTAGAGCTAGGAGTAAGCCCTGAATCTGCCGGTTGTGGCCTCGAAACAAAAATCAAACAAAGTCACACTTATATATACACATATATATGCACAATGGTGAAAGAACAACAGGGATTCAGGAGAAAATGTGACTTTCTGTAGCACGGCTAGATAAAAAATATGGGATTATTTTTTCTTTTTTGGGTCACACTTGGCGATGCACAGGGTTTCCTCCTGGCTTTGCACTCAGGAGTTACTCCTGGCAATGCTCAGGAGATGATATGGGATGCGGGGAATCGAACCCAGGTTGGCCGTGTGCAAGTCATACGCCCTATCCGCTGTGCTGTCTCTCCAGCCCCAAGTATAGGGGATTTTTAAGGACCAGAAATTTGACTCTTTTAATGTTTCATTCTCGAATTTGTCTCTGTACATCATTCCCCCCCCCCGTTCGGTAGAATTTGCCTTTTTTCTTGTTATATTTTTCACCACAGCCTACAGTGCTCAGTTTTTACTCTTGTCTCTGAGCGCAAAGATCATTTGAGAAGAGTCAGGGTAACAGTCTGTGTTTAGATATCATTGATTTGATGTTAGGTGAAAATGCATGATCAGGCGACTTCTCCTTACCCCCAGTCCCCCAGTGTGTGACCGACCAGTCCAGCATTTGCCTCTCCACTCCTCTATTCGAGTCCATCCTCCGTGCAGCACAGATTCACCTGGGTGGCAAAAAGGTTCTCCGTGCCTAGACTCTGGCTCTTTACAGTACCTAATGGAAGCGGAAGTGATGTCATAAGTGATGTCATAAATGTCATGGTTCATTTTCCATCCCTCACTCAGACACTGGGGCTGTTGCTCACTTGGCAAAGGACAAGTAAATTTGCTCCCCATGGGCTGGAGCGATAGCACAGCAGTAGGGCGTTAGCCTTACAAGCGGCCAACATGGCCGACCCGAGTTCGATTCCTCCGCCCCTCTCGGAGAGCCCAGCAAGCTACCGAGAGTATTCGATATGCCAGACACAGTAACAACAAAGTCTCCAATGGAGACGTTACTGAGCCCGCTCGAGCAAATCGACGATCAACGGGAGGGCCTTTACCTTTACCTTTACCTTACCTGGAAGGGGAACTCTGAAGAAGGATTTAGTTGCAGGATTCGAACAACCTCCTGTGAGCACCCTGCACCTTCCCATTTCCACACTCTGAGCCGAGGGGCCGAGCCAAATTGGGGGGCACTTTTGCGCTGGTTTTTCACTTGTTCGCCAACATACAGGTGGATCGTGAGGTGTGATGGAGGCTTTAGGGCGACACAGAGCTTTGGGGGTGCAGTGGGGGCTGTCTCAGGGTTCAGGTGTGACAGTTGTGAGTTCGTGATTCTGGCATGCCCCTTTTGCCATGATCGTCTCCAGCTCCAGGATGGGGCAACAGTGGGTGAATGCGGGAATCATCCGAAGGCTTGGCTATTCCAATCGTCCCAGCAGTCCCATGTTAGAACCATCGGCCCTAAGCTCACTTCTGTAGAATCCTGAGATTTGAGGTGCAGAGCTTCAGCCCCTCCACCAAATGGCAGGAGACCTGTTGCTGGTTATCTTCATTTTCTCCCGTGATAGACGCGATCATGCGGGGTATATGGGGGGGAAGGGGGCCTGCAGGTGGCAGAGGTTTGCCAATGAAAATGTATTTTGGGGGCTATTTTTGGTTCTTTATATTTTAGGGGGAGAGCACATACGCGGAGATGCTCATGAGTTACTCGAGTCTCTAAGCTCACGTATTGTCCCTGGCGCTGCTGGGGGCCATATCGGATACAGAGGATTAGTTGGTTCATCTAGTCAAGCACCCAGTTCACATTATTGCCTTCTAACCACAATACCAGTGTATCTTTTTCTGGTTCATGAATTTCAGGTCCCTCACATCAAGCTACAAAGCACCCCTGACTCTTCATCTCTCCCAGAGCAGACAACACCTGCCATTGTGGTAAATACTGAGGTCCCCAGAACGGAGTGCCCAGGTGCATGTCCTTGTCTACCCTGCAAGAGAGCGTCGAAGATTTGTTCACTCTAAGTCACATGGTGTAGACACATTCCAGGCTACGGTTCCCAAGGGACAGCACTGCTGCCAGCTGCAGGGGGGCGCTAATATTCGGGAGCTCCTGGGCTGAGAGTCGGCCCCTGAAAGGGCCTACAGGGACTTTCCTGTGGGAGCCAGAGAGGAATCTGGGGATCAGAGAAGGCTGTCTTTTCTTCCCCTTTAGCCTGGGCCCAGGCTCCTCTCCTGAAGTACAACACAGATGCCAACAAAATTTGCATCCCCAGCGGAGACAGGAGCTTCTGCCATTGTCTCCCAGAGGTAGAATTGTGAGGCTGTGCCCGAGGGTGTGGCTGGTCTGAGCTCAGGAGTGGGAGGAGGTGCTCCTGTCTGGTGCTCAATGTTCCTACTTCTCCAGGTCTTTGCAGGAAGCCTCGCGCTGATCCTCAGAACATCAGTGACAGGAGAAGATGGTGACGCGGCTTCTCCTAAACCATCCCCAGGTAGGAGTAGAGGGATAGAATGACATGAGGTAGTACCAGGAGTGCCCAGGCTTCTTGGACCATCTGTTTGGAGTTTCTTTTGGACGGATTCCAAGATGAGACTTCCGATCGGACCGTCCCTTTCTGCTGTTTGAAGCTGCTTTTGTGTATGTTTGTTTTGTTTTATTTGGCCTTGGGGCCGACCCAGTGGTGCATGAGGAGTACTCAAAGCTCAGTGCTCAATGTTCATTCCTGAAAGGTCTAGGTGACGAATGGGATGCTGGAGGTCCAAAGGTTTCATCTTGGGTTTTCTGTTTTCTTTGGGGTGGCAGAGCAAGGATTCTTGCAATCATTTCTTGTGCTGCACTCTGGCATTGCCCCTGGCAGTGCTTGTGGACCATATGGGATGTTGGGGATCGCCAGTCCTACATGCTGTCCCTGGAATAGCTGTCCTGTTACGCCAAACTGCTGCTTCGGCTTCTTTTGCATCGTTTTTGTCATCAGCTGTCCTCTTGACTCTGTGCTCTGGATTCACAACTGACTGGCGTCAGAGCACCCTGGGGTGTGTTGGCCCCGTTTGCGCCCTGGCAACTACAGTGACTTGGGCCTCCAGACTTGCTTTTCTCCTGTTTTGTCCTTCCTGCGTTGGAGAGACTACCTGCTCGGTCATATAGTCTTAAGTTCACATAATCTTGTGTGTGGATTTCTGGGCATGTGCTGATCCCAAGGAGAAAGCCAAGGATCTCTGCGGCCAGTAGAGATGTTGGGGTCAAGAAACTTCTAACTTCTTTGAGCGGGATGTGGGGTGGTCCAGTGCAGTGAGTTCCTACAGGCAGACATGCCATGCACTGTTCTGAGTAGTTGTCTATATGGACTCTCGAGTTCTCAATCCTAGTGGTCATGTGCTGTGGGGCTGCAGCGGTGAGCATGCAGTAGTTTTTGCTACACCCAGGGATAGCCTTTTGGATCGTACAAGTCTGTGTTCAGGTGATCCTCTCTACAGTGCTCACTGGAACAGTGGTGCTCGAATTGGCCGGGGGGTTACCAGGAAAGGCAGATACATCCAAGAACCTTCTGTATCACGTCGTCCCACTTTAGCAGATGCAGTTGCCTTATGTGATTTTTGGGGCCCATCAGTCATGCGTGAGCATGGAGGCTGGTTTATTCGGAGTGGAGAGGCCCCGCGACAATATAGGACCCTGGGACCTGGCCTCAGAGTAGTGTGAATGAGGCTAATTTGGATTCTGACTCCCACCCTCTTCGTGTGCTGACTCAGGACACAGTGACCTTCCACGACGTGGCTGTGAACTTCACCCCAGAGGAATGGTTATGCCTGGAGGCCTCTCAGCGGAAGCTCTACAGGGACGTGATGCTGGAGACCTACCAGAATCTGCAGGCTGTCGGTGAGAGCAGTGTGGAGCCAACCATGTCTGAACAGACCTGCGTTGGCTCCCTGGGGTTGGGCGGAAGCTGTGTGTCCAACAGTAGCTCTGTGACAGGCGTGCAGTATTTCTTCCCTCCCTCGTGTTTTTTAGGGTTCACCTGTGGATACTCAGGGCTTACTCTCAGCTTTGTCTTCAGGAATTACTCTTGTGGGGTAGCTGGACCCTATGGGGTGATTCAGATCAACCGTTTTCGACTGTGTCCATGGGAAGATCCCTGTCTGCCCAGTTATCACTCAGGCCCTTTAAATAGTTCCATCCATTGGTGCAACAATTTACTTTGTGTACTACACGAAATTTTGTGTGTTTAATTGGTTTTGCTGTTGCCTTTGTTTGGGGGGCACAGTCCACAGTTCTCTTGGCTCTGTGCTAAAGGATGACGCCTACGAGTGTTCAGGGGCCATATGGAACCGTATATTTAAACCTCTTGGCAAGTTAAACTGTCGCTGCCTCACCCCCAGTACTTTTGCATCAGTCACTCAAGTCAGACGGTTTTTGCATTTTCTTTTTTCCTTAGGGATTAGGAATTATTCCTGCCTGTGTATTCAGGGTCCACACCTGGCCTTGCTCCAAGACCATATGGGCTGCCTGGGATCAAACCCACATGTGTGTGCAGCACTTCTGTCTTATCTGCTGTACTATCTCTTTCCCACCACAGGAGATTTGATATTTCATCTCTCAACTCATTAGACGCTGCCCTATTTCAGTGCTTTGATTTACTTCTAATGGTTCTTGTGAGACTTTAGCAGGACTTAGGGTTTGCTTCTGGACTCTGCACTCAGGGATCGCTCCTGGCTGGCTTGAGGGACCCTAGGAGATATCGGGTATCACAACTGGATTATCCGTGAGAAACTCCTGCTGTGCTCTCTTTCTGGATACATTTTTAGCTTAAAAAATAAGGGTATCTTGTCACCCTTGGCCATTTCCAGATTTATTATGCACTTAGTTTTACTGAAATCCGTGAAAAGTTCATGAGGGGCTGAGGAAACTCCATGTGCTGCTGAACCTAGAGAGATAGTACAGGGATGAAAGTGATTTTCTTGCAAGCGGTGCATGTGGGTTAAATTCCCGGCAACCCATGTCATACCCGAGCACCAGCAGTAGTGATTTCTGAATACAGAGTCAGGAGTCTCCCCTGATCATTGCCAGGTGAGACCCAAAACAAGACAAAAAACAAAAACATACTGTGCTAATCAACCCCCTATCTGCCATACACAAGGCCAGGTCTAGAGTATTTGTGATATTTTCTTGGGTCTTACCTCTCGAATAACTAGAAATATGTGGAATTTTGGAAATGGACATTCTGTTCATGATTTTCAGATAAATGCCCACTTATATCAAGAAAACATGGGCATTTACCTGTCACCTTTTCCCTGTGACTTATCCATGCCTCTGTCTCTGTTGCGACAGGGCACACTGGAATGAAGCCTGCAGTGATCTCCTGGCTTCAAGGAGGAGTTTTGAGGTCGGGTAGGAGAGGCGTGTGTGCGGGTGAGTGTCTGAGGACCCTTCCTGGATCAGGCCCTGTGCAGTGTATGGGTGCCCTGAGCATGTGTGAAACATGCTGCTGAGGCCGGGGCCTTGGTGTCCTGTATCCTTGGGTCTGTGCTGCACTCAAGCTGCTCTTCATTTCCTTGGACTGTCAATCACAGAATGATCCTGTAATTTGCTTCCATGGCTTTCGAATAAATAAGACCATAACATTGATAGTTTGGATCTAAACGATAGTACAGCAGGGAGCGCCTTGCAGTACCTGAATGTGACCTGTTCAATAATCTGTTCAATAACCTGGTTCCCCGAACATCACCAGGTCTGCTCAAAAACAAAAACATAACCTAGTGTAGAATTGCCAAGATCCTCACAGTTTTCCACTATCCGAATCTTTTGTTTAGTGTGGGACTCTTTGGACTTTGAGAACCACAGAGATGTACTCTTAACTACATGGCATCATTTTGCTACATATTGTGACATGTGTGACATGTGTGAATTGCATGTTCTCTTCAGTTTCAGAACTGAAACCGCGACTTCAGAATTTGGTATTACAGCACTTTGATTTGGGAATGGGGTCAGCAAGTACGAGTGAGTTGGTAAGATTCACGAATACAGAATAAATATTATTATGCCAGCAGGAGTGGACCAAGTATGTGATTGTAAAGGTGGAGGGCTGGGATTGGCAGGGAGAAATTCCAAAACCTGATGCTTGGAGTAGAGGACTCTTAGCTTTGCTAGGTGCTGACATCAACCGTGTATAAAAATACTGTGAGTTTTTGATTGGCTTGACAGTGGTAGTTGTTTAGAAAGCTAATTTGTGCGCCCTAGAGATGGTGCAGTGAGAAATATACTTGTTTTGCATAGGGATGGATGGTCCTTACCCAGCACGCCTTATAGACAGCATAGACCCAGAGAACTGATCCGAGACACTGCATGGTGTGCTCCTCCACCCACCCAACCTCCAATGAATAGAAACTACAAAACAGAAAGAAAAAAAAAAACTTTATTGATCCTGAAAGGAATCACTTGTGGTGAGAGCATTGCAATGGCCACGTGATCTGTCTCAGCTGCATTACGATGCAGCGTAGTCTTCACCCCTGCATCACAGGTTCCACACAGAACTTTAACCAAATCCACATGTGGATCTATTTCATTTTCTCTTGAAATGGATGTGTCCGTTTTCTAAAGAAGGAATTATTTCTAGTTGTATTCCTTCATTAAATTAAAAAGGGGGAAAGTCCCAGAATTTACTCTCTATCCATCAATGTTGTGCATCCAACTTACGGTAACATGAAGTTATTCAATAGTAAGACAATTCATATGTCAGTAATTGCATTTTTGTGGTGCATATGTGTGGAACTACATCTGAAGGGCTCAGTTTTTTGACAGGAAGACTCAGTGAATAAGTCAATAATTAGAATCCTCTGTTGTTCTGCAGGAAAGCTGCCACCCCGAGTGGAATGTCTCTGATCCTGCACTGTATGATAATGTCTCGACTGATCAATCCTGCCCTCAGCCCCATGAAGACGACGAGACAGGCGGGATTTCTTCTGAGGGTGATCAGAATGGTGAGAGCTACATCACTCTGAAGAAGCCCTCTCCTGGAAAAAGTTCCTTGGAGTGTGTTATTCTCAGTTCACAGACACAAAATTCCCCAATGGGGTACCTGCTAGGGAGAGAAGCACTGTTTATAGTTAGTCCCTCACAGCAACATACCCTCAACCACAGTCACCGTGAGCAGAACCCATATAGGTGTAAGGAATGTGGAGGAGCCTCCCCATGTTCTCAGCACTGTGGTGTACCCTTAGAAAACCATAGTGGACAGAATCCCCAGAAATGTCAGCCCCAAGAACAAAGTGTGAGTCAAGGGTTACTCCATCATGACCATATGAATATAAATTCAGGAGCGAAACCTTTTGCATGTGAAACATGTGGGAAGGCCTTTGATCAATCATCACATCTTATGCATAGGAGAATTCATACAGGAGAGAAACCTCATGAATGTCAGACATGTGGGAAGGCCTTCATTCAGACCTCTAATTTTAATGTACCTATGAAAACTCATAGTGCAGAGAAGCCTTCTATTTGTCAGGAGTGTGATAATGACTTTACTCAATCCTCAGGCCTCAGTATACATAGAAGTATTCACACTGGAGAGAAACCGTATATATGTAAGGAATGTGGGAAGGCCTTTGCGAAAGCCTCAAGTCTTAGTGTACATAGGAGAATTCACACTGGAGAGACACCATATATATGTAAGGAATGTGGGAAAGCCTTTGCGAAAGCCTCAAATCTTAGTGTACATAGGAGAATTCACACAGGAGAGAAACCGTATAAATGTAAGGAATGTGGGAAGGCCTTTGCTCAATCCTCAAGCCTTGGTGTACATAGGAGAATTCACACTGGAGAGAAACCGTATATAAGTAAGGAATGTGGGAAGGCCTTTGCTGGAGCCTCAGGACTTATTGCACATAGGAGAATTCACACTGGAGTGAAACCATATATGTGTAAGGAATGTGGAAAGGCCTTTGCTTTGGCCTCAAGACTTAGTGAACATTGGAAAATTCACACTGGAGAGAGACACTATGTTTGTAAGGAATGTGGAAAGGCCTTTATTTTGGCCTCAAAACTTAGTGTACATAGGAGAATTCACACTGGAGAGAAACCGTATATATGTAAGGAATGTGGGAAGTCCTTTGCTGAATCCTCAAAGCTTAGTGTACATAGGAGAATTCACACTGGAGAGAAACCGTATATATGTAAGGAATGTGGGAAAGCCTTTGCTGGAGCCTCAAAACTTACTATACATAGGAGAATTCACACTGGAGAGAAACCTTATATATGTAAGGAATGTGGAAAGGCCTTTGCTACAACCTCAAGCCTTAATGTACATAGGAGAATTCACACTGGAGAGAAACCGTATATATGTAATGAATGTGGAAAGGCCTTTGCTTTGGCCTCAAGACTTAGTGTACATAGGAGAATTCACACTGGAGAGAAACCGTATATATGTAAGGAATGTGGGAAGGCCTTTGCTAAATCCTCAAGCCTTACTATACATAGGAGAATTCACACTGGAGAGAAACCGTATATATGTAAGGAATGTGGGAAGTCCTTTGCTGATGCCTCAAGCCTTAGTGTACATAGGAGAATTCACACTGGAGAGAAACCGTATATATGTAAGGAATGTGGGAAGGCCTTTGCTAAATCCTCAAGCCTTACTATACATAGGAGAATTCACACTGGAGAGAAACCGTATATATGTAAGGAATGTGGGAAGTCCTTTGCTGATGCCTCAAGCCTTAGTGTACATAGGAGAATTCACACTGGAGAGAAACCGTATATATGTAAGGAATGTGGGAAGGCCTTTGCTAAATCCTCAAGCCTTACTATACATAGGAGAATTCACACTGGAGAGAAACCGTATATATGTAAGGAATGTGGAAAGGCCTTTGCTGGAGCCTCAAGACTTTATGTACATAGGAGAATTCACACTGGAGATAAACCATAATATATGTAAGGAATGTGGAAAGTCCTTTGCTGAAGCCTCATACCTTTGTGTACATAGGAGAATTCACACTGGAGAGAAACCATATATATGTAAGGAATGAGGAAAGGCCTTTACTTCATACTCGCAATTGACTATACATAGGAGAATTCACAGTGGAGAGAAACCGTATGTATGTAAGGAATGTGGGAAGTACTTTGCTGAAGTTCGCTGATTTTCACCCGGGCTGCACCTATGGCAGTATTCTTGTGCTTGGAACTGCTTGTGTGTTAACTTGTAAATAATGGGTCATGGTGATGAAAATAAGGAGGAAGGTGACTGAATAAACTGAATAAACACCCTCCTGCTCAGAGCTGTAATGGCTCACTACTCTGTTGTTGTTTGCTATGCTTTGGCTTGGCCCAGTGGGGCTGGTTAGCGGGAATTATGGCAGAAATCAACCAAGATGCAGCATTGAATACTTTGAAAATGGAAAAATAGGTAATCCTTCATTCTTCAGTGTTTCCTGTGTTAGGATTTGGGATGCTTGAGCACCCTGATTTGGTCACTTGAGCGCCAGGTCAAGCCAGCTTGTATGGTGCATTCACGCTTGTTTGTTACTTGTTCTGAATATCCAGGCTTTAGTGGATGTGGAGCTTTTGAGGGGTGCATTGGGTGCTGTTCTGTCACTCAGGTGTCATGGGTGAGGGTGCGTTATCCTGAGGGCCCCCGCAGCCACCATCGATCCAGGTCCAAGACGGTACTGGAGGTTGGGCACATGGACTTCAGGCCTTGGTGTGAGGAGCTTGCAAAGAGTGGGGGTCTTGGTCATCTCGTTCCTCCCTACTGGAGACTGTGAAGGACCCTGTTTTGAGCCTTTGGACTGGACCTAACACTTATCGAAACTCCAGATATGTTCACAGGCAGCCCCCAAAGGAAAGGGACACTTTGGCCGGCAGTCATTTTCATTGGCTTCAGTGCTGGGTTTGGCACTTTGGGGTGTGTTTAGACAAATGAGAGGTATATGCCTTGAAAATTTACTCTTTGGATTATATATATATATTTTTTTGCTTTTTGTGTCACACTCAGCGTTTCACATGGGTTTCTCCTGACTTATGCACTCAGGAATTACTCCTGGTAAAGCTCAGGGGACCATATTGTTTCTGGGATTCGAACCCGGGTTGGTCACGTGCAAGTCAAACCTCTTACCCGCTCTGCTATCACTTCAGCCCCTCTTTGTGTTAATTTTAATAGCTGCTTTTATTCAAGGCAGTTGGAAGGGATTCTTTGATGCACAAGGTTTACTTCTGGTTGTGCATATCAGGAATTATTCTGTGGTGCTGCTGGGTACCTATCGGATGGGGAGGCTAGCATCCTAGTAGCTTCACAGTGATTCCAACCCCACTATTGGTGTTTTTTCCCACATATAGAATTTCTACAACCTGGGATTATGGTACCGCCAGCAGGTCAATATGTGCCTGTAAGGCGACTGCATCAGCAGCCTGATCGCACCATCAGACTTCCAGATACTCCAAAATTGATGCTGTGCCTTTGGCCAGACTCCAAAAACTTTGGGCAAAGTCTTCCAAGAAAGTAAACAGCCAATGTTAGGTATGTGCAAGACACACCAACAAACCATTTCCTGCTCAGCTATATAATTGGAGGCAAGGTCTCTCTGGTTCCTGATCAAACCTCTTAAAGGCTATGATCCCAGAGACTCAGAGATAAATCTCGGAACCCAGCGGCTTTTTGCAGAGATGTGCCCGATACCCACAATGAGCTACCGGCGACAGACCACCACAAGGGGGAAAGGGGGTGTGTCTCCGCCTGATCCCACTTGGTGGCTCAGGGGCCACCATCTTCCAGAGGCCATTGGACAGACAGGTTTGGGCCTTCAGTGACAAGACATGCAAGGCCTCATGGGATTGGGCTAGACTCTGCACGTTCCTCCCCACCTCAATGAGACCCCGAGTCACTGCCCATGTACGAACTCTCTGGCTGATCCCAGAGTCTCAGAAACTAATTTCGGAACCCAGTGGCTTTCAGAAGAAATGTGTTCTGTCCCTACAGTAGGTTACCTAAGCTGGGTATTTCAGGTGGGAATAGGTTTTGTGCCTGGCGGCTCAGTGGCCGCCGTATCTTAGGGTTCTGGACGGTTAGGTTTGGGACTGCAGTGAGGAGACATGCAGGGCCTAATGGGATGGTGGTGGAGCTGGCCCTTTTCCCCCTGCCCCAACGAGACCCTGAGTTGTCTGGCACCTACGATTGACCTCTATGGCTCGTGATCAAGGTGAGTAATGGACATGATCCCAGAGATTCAGAGACAAATCTCGAAACCCAGTGCCTTTTAGCAGAAAAGCATCTGTACCCTGCAGTAGGTTACTGTCCCAGGTCCACCCCAGGGGGAATTGGTGCTGTCCTGCAAACTGCTCCTCCTTGGCGGCTCGGTGGCCTCCATTCGCCAAAGGCCTTTGGAAAGTCAGGTTTGTGCCCACACTCAGGAAGATACGTGGGGCCTCGCAGGATGGGTGTGGAGCTGGACAATTCCTCCCCACTCCAACAAGAGCCTAAGTCATTCCCACGAACCGCCTCTCTGGCTCGTGATTAAGCTGTTTAATGGCCATAATCCCAGAGACTCAGGAACAAATCTCTGAACCCAGCAGGTTTTTGCAGAAATTCCTCCAGATTTAGTTGTTAAAATTTCAGAATTCCAAAATCATATGTTATTTATAACCAGCAAATGAAAAAGAATTGTCTACTGTTGCGTTTTCACCAGATCTAACTGCCAGAGTAAAATGCCAAATAATAATGGTGGGTCTTTTGTCAAAATATTGAATGTAATCAAAGTAGAGAAAAGAATTGGAAATTATCTGCCCCACAGGTAGAGGAAGGCTGTGGAATGGCGTTATACTTGGGTTTTTAGTGATGGAAAATGGGCATGGTGAAGGGATGGGTGTTTCATTGTATGACTGAGACTTAAACCTGAAAGCTTTCTAAGTGCTCTCCCATTTTCCCCCGTTTTCTCTCATTTATTTAGAAATGGCCAGAGTAATAGTAGAGCAAGTAGGATGCTTACCTTGCATGTGGCCAACCCAGGAGTCTTCCAGTCCACAACGTCTTTTCATTGCTTATTGGACATTGAGTGTCCCCTTCTCATTCCTAGAACATGTAATGTGGGGGTGTGGCATGGGGTAGGGGTGTCTTCTCCCCGGAGCTGTTCATTACGGAGAGATCCAGTGCTTTGCTTTCTTGACTTTGTTGTGATTCTTCCCTATCTGTCAGGTATGTCAAGTAGTCCATGTGTTTCAAGGCTCTTGTTTTCCCAGTTGTATAACTGGCCAGACTGTACACCTAATGGGTCGGGTACCCTTTCTGGACCCTGCTCAGTCAATCTGACACCATGCATATATTTGCCTTTGGATCATTGTCATGTTTTTTTGAAAATGGGAAGAAATTGAGTTTTCTTTTGTTATGGGGCCTGGGGATGCTCAACAGTTATTTCTGGTGGTTCTCATAAGTTGCTTTTAGCAGTGTATAAGGATCAAACCCTGTCAGCCTTATGCTAGGCAAATGCCTACCTACTGTACACTTGTACGCGCCAAAAAATGTTTTATTGTGTGTATGTTAAATTGTGACTGTGAGCCCATAGTGAAGTTAATTAGGACCAGAACAGCAGTGCATCACAGAGGGTGCTTGCCTTACAGATGCCGCCTACCTTCGATGTCCAGCATCCCCTTTGGTATCCCAAGCATCACTGGGTCTGATTAAAAACAAAACCCAAAAGGATTTTTTGGGGGATTGCCGAGCTCCTCCCAGCAACACTTCCCGCAGATTTTCCCTTCCTGTAGGCTTGCTTGGACTGTGAGAACTATGGAGATGTCCTCCACCTGTTTGGTCATTCAGCTGCATTCCATTCAACATTGGACTAATTCTCATTGTGCATTTTGTGTGATTTCAGAACTTAAATCACAAGTTTAGGATGTGACATTACAGCAGTTTCTTTAGGGAACAGGGGTATTGCATACAAGTGTGCTGTAAGAGTCTCTTGTTGAAACTATTATGCCATTGGAGTGCTCAGTGGACCGAGCATGCAACTTGAAAGGTGGGGTCCGGCTCCATCCCCACAACAACATCTATGGTCTCAGCATCACAGGAAAAATAACGGAGCCTAATGCTGGGACTAGAGGGTCTTTAACCTCAGTGGGTGCTGAAATCTGGAAATTTATTTTATTGTATTGTTTTTTAAAGTCTTCATTAAAATGCCAGTATTTTCAATGTTATTGATAGTTGTGTTTAGGCGTACCATCATTGAACACCAATTCCTGCATCAGCTTCCCTCCACCCGTGTGCCCACTCTGCCCCCACCTGTCATCTGGACAAGCACTTGACTAGGTTTCAGTGGTTACAGCTTAGATCTCTTGTTTTCAGTTCTCTTGCATCTGTATTTTGGGTAAATGGCTACACCCCTCACTCATGTCACTGGCATAAGTGAATCCCTGATCCCTGTAAACTTCTGGGTCTCTTCCCCCCAAAATTTCATTCCTTCTTTGTCCGGCTTCTCTCTAAACTCTGGAATCAGGGATGATTTAAGCAGCCCCTTTACATTACATTTCCACATCCAGTGTTCGGTACTCCACAGATGAGTGAACAACATCCTGTTTTTGTTTCTTTTTCTGGCTAACTTCACTCAAGACAGTATCTTCCAGTTCCAACCATGTTGCTGCATAAAAGCAGTAATTCTAAAACCTAAAAAAATATATCAATTGATCAATTGATCTCCCTTTATTCATAGATGTATTCGAGTGGGTGTCAGTAACGTCTCCATGCATGCCTGTTGCGTGCTAGTGTAGCCCAATGGCATCTGTTTGTTCTAGGAACATGGAGAGCCTCAAACTGATTTTTCAGGGTCTTGAGTAAGAAGTCTGAACATCTTGTAGGTGGGCGTCCACGCAGTCTTTTGACGTCCCGTGGAATTCAGTCAGTAATGGGTCTAGGCCAGTGGTTGTCTGTAAACCTCATTTCGTGTCCAGCCCATCTGATTTTTGATGCCTTAGAAGATCAGACAGCATCCCTGATTCTTGACCGTCGATGGAGATCAGAACTCCGGATTCTATCTCTCATTTGAGTGATGCGTGATATTCCAAGCGTAGCTGTTTCGATTCCTCTTTGAAAGACCCAAGTAGCGTTCTCATCCTGTTTTCATAGGGCCCAGGTCTTTAAGGCATATGTTAATGC